GGCCCCCCTCCCCGACGCTGCGCGGACGGGGCAGCGCCGCAGCCGTGGTGTGCCCAGAACACGGCCCCGTGTGCCCATTACAGAGCACTTAGCTGCAGCATCAGCTGCCCCAGGGACCCCCGGGACCCCCTTCACCAGCCTCCTCGGCCTCCCGCTGGGCTCCTGGTGCTGGCACCGCATCCAGAGGGGACCTGACACCGTTTTTTTTCCCGCCTGCCTGTCCAGGCTTCTGGATGGCACCAGCCAGGCAGATGCTGCAGGTGCCCAAGCAGGACCTGCCCATCTGGGTCCCCACCCTGCAAATCCATGGACCTGTGACTTGGAGCCTGATCTATGATGGGCACAGCCCATACAGGGGCTGCAGAGAGGCCATGGAGGCGCTTGCATTAAAAACAACTTTTAGACTTGGCAGTCCCTGTCACCCTCCCCTGATCCCTGCTTGCAACTGGATGCAGAAAGTCGCCTGCTGCAAAGACCCAGGGGAGACGGTGCCAGGGCTGGGCTCTCATCGCTGTGCCCCCATTTCCCTCTTTGCCTGCCCTGGCTTTGGGACATTTGGACTCTGAAGTCACTGGCTGGAGCTCATACAAGATACCACAACCCTGACGGCTGCTCCCCAGAGCAGTGGGGACCACTGGCGCTTGACACCTGATTTGTCATCGTGGCCATTTGCTCCCGGCTCCCTGTCCCCTCTCCCTGCGGGAAGCCAGTTATCTCCCTGCCTTTTCCCTTTATTTTATTTGCAGCCCCAAGCCTCCCGTGTGCTGTGACCAGCTGTGGCCCCCTCATTAACACAGCCCCCCAAAATGCCAGAGCCCAGACCCCCCCAGGAACAAGGCCATCTCCATGAGGGGGATTCGTTGTCCCCCATGTGCACAAACTGCTCAGAATTTGGCCAAAGCAGAGCCGAGGCGCTGCCGAACCTCCCTCGGCCCCAGCATCAGCAATAGGAGCCAGGAGTCCTGGCAGAGCAGCCGCCGGCACTAACGCGCTCCACAAAGCCGGACACGGTTGTTTTCAGAAGGACACGCACCGAGCCCGTCCCAGCAATCGTTTGTGCAAGCGGGGGCACAGCCCGGCGCTGGGCACGCTGCCCGCCCCGGCTCACCCGTGCGCCCTGAACCCCACCAATGCCCGGCACATCGCTGCAAGACAAACAACAAAGCACTTTCTTCCCCTTTCCCAGTTTCCGAGCAGCCCTTCACCCTCCGGCAAAGCACAGAATCCCAGAATGGTTGAGGCTGGCACAACGTACCACACACAGTCCCCTCAAGGACGGGTTGCACCAGGTGGCAGAGACTCCCACGGCAAAGCAAAACACCCAGACACCCCCCCCTCCCGGTGTCCCCACGCTCCCAGGGA